TCTCTTACTGCTGGGTTCATTTGAGTTTCCGGGACTATAAACAGGGTCACAGGCACGAAACGGTTCAGTAACCCCCTTTGAGATTTGTCACTCAGCTCCCATCACTCTCACTTAATGTGAATGAGCGCAGTCCCACGAACAGACAGCGTGCTCTGAAATGTGCTTTTTGTAGTTTGATCACAGTCGGATCACGTTCGGAGTCCAGAGGTGGTGCCAATTTGGTTTGGGGAATGTTCTGAGCGACTTCTCTCTCGGCGAGGTCTCGCTCTGATTGCTGCGCTCTCATTTGGTCAAAAGAAGCAAACTGAGTGGGAGAGAGAGCACTTCAGAGTTCCAAGTAACTTCTCGGAGGGAATACAAGGTGTGAAGACGCCTTAAATCTCCCAGACGCCTCTTCAGGGGTCGCATCTATCAGCGCCTTCCCCTCCTTGTGGGCTGACATGCATACTTAAATCAGCTCTCAGTACTGAAGCTGGTTCTCCTCAAAGAGGCTGATGTGAGGTTCTGCTGTGCCACACTTCCCTCTGCAGGCACAAGGGAAGACCTCCACGCTTGGCCGTTTGTCTCTCGACTGAATGACATATTGGGTGCCCTCTTTTGCATGAAACCCTTGCTGTATGTGACACTTTCTCTAATCCCTGCTGCTCGCTGTCATGTATCGGACCGCTAATCATCTTCATTGTGCCGATACCTTGTAAGGTAGAAAACTGTGCTCAGCAAGTTTGTCTTTAAATTAAAAGAAATATGGTTTTCAAGAACAAGCAGAATAAAGTAATCACACAGCAGATGCTCATGGTGGGATTGGATGACTTTAATAATGTAATAAAGTAACAGGAAACAGAAGTCCCTTTTTTTGCTCGTCCTCTATCAGACGATCTGCAGGTTGCAAAGCTTTGGATCGAGCTGCAGTCTCTCCCCCAAGTGTTGGTATCAGCTAGTATCAGACAGATCCGTATGACTGGAGAAATACGAGGCATGCAGCGCTGGTGACTGAGGTGCCAATCAGGTGCCGCCGGCAAGCTTCATTTTTTTTGTTATCTTGGCCTCAAATTTAATTGTGTTTTTGCTGTCTCTGCAGTGGCCCTGGTGTCAGATGGAACAGATGTCTGAATCACAGTCTGACATTTCAGTCTCGTGAAAATTTACAGACCCTTGGAGCCTTTCGTTTTTTCAAGCATGTTCTTTTCATCAGTCGCACACAATAACAACAGCGGTGGGATTGACAGGAGACCGGCAGAGATAAGCGTCAGCACCGAGGTAGAGTTTGACTCGCGACGATTTGTGGAATGTCACAAATTTTCCGTGACACATTATTGTTCCCTGTATATGAAGTTCTTGTTCTTTTTTGGCCTGCGCCCATCACAGGGAGGTGAGGTCAGGGTCAACGGTAGAGCGCTGCCCCGTGGAGCTGCTGCAGAGGGGAATCAGTCACAAATGATGCCCTTTTACATTTTCTTGAACATTTTTCCTTGACTATGATGAAAACAAGATTTGCTGAAGGAAATATGAAGGAAAGTTTGTTGCAGTGTTGACAGAATTCTGTCATTCAAAATGGGAACAATGGGAAGATTCCTTCATTCATTATTCCGACATGGCTTCCCTGCTGCTAGCCTTTAAAGTTCATGTTGAATTAGAGGATTTTCATATCACGTTACATATTTGTAACTATTTGTTACAAACTGAAGTGAAACCAGACACAAACTGTGTACAGTTATTTTCAAGTGAGCTGATTAGATTTAGTTTGTGTTAACGTTGGATCTTAACTGTAATTACCAGTGACGGTGGCTTTACACAGGCTACAACCTCTGGATGTGAAAAGTGAAGCTAATATGGAGGTACCTTACTTGTACCTACCTTGCATTCTTTCTAATGGCCTTCAGGGGGCGACTCCACTGGTTGCAAAAATAAGTTTGATTCTTTGTGGCCGGTGAAAAACTTGCAAATGCTATTTTTTCACAGATGATCTGTCTCATGTGTCACTGTCAGATTGTAGTGAAAGTTTGAGCAAATAATGCAACAGGTTATTTCATCAAAGTTACCAACTCCAGCTTCTATACAGCAAGTGATACAATACACGTGATATCAGACTTCCATCAAACTGCGACATTGAACTGCTACTGAAAGTTAAGCTTTACAGACAGAAAGAAATATATGTTGTTTGTTATCACAATCTATTTCATTAGTTTTCAGCTTTGAGTAGCTCCTCTGTCTCCTTTGTGCATTGTATTGTGGGAAAATTGCATCCATCAGCTGCACACTCAAAAATCAACCGTGTTCAGTATGCATACTGTCTGGCTTATGTACTCTTTATTTTGTCACTTTTTTAATGTGAACTACAGACTAGAGTCTAGTTTAGGATTAGTATCCTATAGATTTGGGACACGCCATGTGAAGACTGAACTGACAGGCCACTGTACGCTCATTTCTTTAGAGTGAACCAAAGTAAAGGTGTCAAAGCAACGTTGGACTTTGACTACCGTCCCTGTACCTGATCAGGTCCACACAGGAACTGAAGCAGAAACTATCTCCGAGCAGAGCTCACATACTTCCCCTGGTTGATTAGAAAATATCCTGTAATAAAGCTGTTGTTGGGAATATAATAGAAAAATCTCCGGTCCTGGGGTCCCAGCCTAGTGAATTTAAAGCCATGAAATATGGAAAAGGGCACGTTGTTGGCCCGAAGCCTGGCCACCCACTCAGCCCTCAGGTGGGGGTCCCAACCCATCACATCCCTGCCTTCTCTCTCTGTGTGTGCCTCTCATGCTGCCCATTCATTTCCACACACTATTTGCTAAATTGGTTACACACTGTTCATGTCATCGTGATGAAACAAGCCCTGATTGCCCAGTGCTTTGCCATGTAAAATAAATATGTTATTCTATTACAGCATGATAGACAGGGTTGCCCAAAGATAAATATATAAAAATAAAAAAAGTCTTTAGCATCACAAGGTTTGCCAGGGGCCATTTTGGCTCGACTAAAATGGTTTTTGCCAAGTGGCAGGATGGTTGCCAGTTTCCACAGCAATCTCTGCCACCTGTGATGGATGGCCAGTGGGTTAGGCTAGACAAACGCAGCTGTGATTGTATGGCGCCATTATGGAGGAGGGGGGGGGGGGGGGGGGGGG